TAAAACTCGGCGGTCCACGCGGATTTCTCGGATCGACGCTGGGGCCCCCTGGCAGCGCCTCTAGCGCCGGCCTTGGCGCGTTCCGCGCGCTGGCGAGGAGAAACCCCGCGCCGACACGAGGTATCTGGGCGGACCCCGAGCTGTTATGTTAGTGTCAACGTTTGTTCTCGTACCCCCGTCCTCCTCAGCAACCACCTTCTGCTCGTGCCTGCCTCCTGGGTGTGCAGTTCAACTGGCCGCGGCCCAGCAAGCAGCGAATCGTTCATGGCTCGCTCACGCCGGAGCGGCAAACATGGCCGAGGCCCCACGGACATGTCGTCCGCAGGGGTTGCTCGCACGGCAGGGGGCCGCGCGCCCGTGACAGCGCCGCGGCGGCTGCGCACCTCGGTGCGCAGCGGATCGCCCAGCTGCCGAAGGCACTGTGTTGTGAGGGCAATAGTCGTGGAGGCTTTAGGCCCTGGGGGATTCCTTGTGTCCAGTGAGGTCGGCGGCGCTTTCCATGACCAGTCCACGACTGGAGTCCCAGCGGCTTCCACACCTCGGGTGCGTGTTTTATCAAGCGGCCCCTTTCTCCACCGCCCTCACACGGCGGCCTGTGGCCGCGCGTTGCGCCCGAGCCCGCGAGACAGAGGGAGCAGGCTCTGCTGGGGGGCTGGGCGCGTCCCCCGCGAAGCCGGGGAGACGCGGCGCGGCGGAGCCTCGCGGGCGAAGGACCGATTCGTGCCCGCGGCCTCGCGGGATCGGGCCCCTGGTCGGCAGCGCGCAGAGGGGGGTATGGGCTCAAAAGCACCCCTGCTTCTTAGAAGGCGCGGGCCTTCTCGATAGACGTAAGGCCGAGGCCTTGTAAAAAAACAGGGTGCTTCTAAGAAGCCTTCCCCCCTCCCCTTACCCCCTTTTTGCGCGCCGCCAGCCTGGGCTGCGACCCTGCGGGTACGGGGCGCGTTTTTGTTCGCGGAGGCCCCGCGCGGAGCGCAGGCCGTGCGACCGCGCGTATCCGCGCGGGATCGTGCACCCGGGATTCCCGACAGCGAGGCCGCGGAGGTGGGGTGCGGTCGCCGCTCGTGGGGGCGGCTCCTGGCGGCGAGGTTCTCCGTTGGCGGTGCCGGGGCCGCCGTCGCGGCGCGCGGCTGCGGGTGGGCGGACTGCCCACGCCTGCAGCTTAGGGTCGTCGTCATCGTCCTCATCGTCCGGTCGTCGTCGTCGTCGTCGTCGTCGTCGTCGTCGTCGTCGTCGTCGTCGTCGTCGTCGTCGTCGTCATTGTCATAGTCCGGTCGTCGTCGTCGTCGCCGTCGTCGTCGTCGTCGTCGCCTGGCTGCCACTTGGCTTCCCCGCTGGCCTCCTCGAGATGCTGAGGATGATGCTGAGGAGGGAAACGCACCGAGAACGCCGCCCACTTTTTGTGGGTGGATCTCTCAAGCTCTCCGCCGCCGCCCCTGGCGGTGCGCGTTGCGAGCAGGAACGCAGCAGAGCCACAGTCAAGCGCGGCATTGACAGTGTAGCTCCGCACGCGTGACAAATATTGACGAGCAAGAACACAGCAAAGCCCCAGGAGAGCGAGGCATTGACAGTGCATCTCTACATTGCCTTGTCTCTTCGCCTGCTTGGGCCTCTCGGGAGGCCCTCGTCGCCATGGGCGGCCTCGAGATGCTAAACGCTTCGCGTAACCCCACCAGCCTACCTATACGACCACCCTTCGGGTGACAAGGAGGTTCGGGGGGTGGAGGAACCAACGTCTCACTCGATCGGTCTCACTACCGATCTCGCTATCGATCTCACTATCGGTCTCGCTCGCTCGATCTCATTCGATCGATCTCACAATCGATCTCACTCGATCTATTTCATTCGATCGATGTCACAAGCGATCTGACTATCGATCTCACTGTCGATGTCACAGTCGATCTCACATTCGGTCGCACTATCGATCTCACTATCGATATCACAACCGATCTTACAATCGACGCCATCATCATCAACATCATCGTCATCAACGTCATCAACATCATCATCTTCATCATCATCATCATCGGGACACCATCACCATACAAAAACTCATCACCATCATCATCAACAGCATCATCATCATCATCACCATCATCATCATCATCATCATCATCGGGACACCATCATCGCCACCATCAGCATCATCAACATCATCATCATCGGGACACCATCATCATCATCGGAACACCACAATCATGATCATCCTATCATCATCATGGCCAGCATCATCAACATCATCATCGGTACACCATCATCATGGGTAACATCATCATCATCATCATCATCATCACACCATCGGGACAGCATCATCATCGGAGTACCATAATCATCATCACCATCATCATCATCGAGACACCATCATTATCAACACCAGCGTCATCAGCATCATCATCGTCATCATCATCATCATCACCAGGCCACCATCATCAACATCATCATCACCGCCTCATCATCAACAACATCATCATCATCGGGACACCAGCAGTGCTAGCATCATTATCAATATCATCATGTTCATCGGGGCAGCATCATCATCATCACCATCATCATCAGCAACATCATCATCATCAACCTCATCATCATCATCATCATCATTATCATCATCATCATCATCGGGACACCATCATCATATTTATCATCATCATCATCATCTAAGCATCTCGTCATCATCCACATCATCATGATCATCAACATCTTCATCATCATCGGAGCACCATTATCATCAGCAAAATCAGCATCATCAACATCATCATCATCATCATCGGGACACCATCATCATCACCAACATGGCCATCATCATCATCACCAACATCGTCAACATCATCATCATCAGCATCATCATCGGGACACCATCATCATCATCAGCATCATCATCGGGACACCATCATCATCACCATCATCATCAACTTTATCGACATCATCATCATCAGCATCAGCATCAGCATCAGCATCAGCATCAGCATCAGCATCATCATCATCATCATCATCATCATCATCATCATCATCATCATCATCATCATCATCATCGGGGCACCGACGGGACACCGGCGGGACACCGGCGGGACACCGTGGGCCACTGGACGCCGGTCCGGAATCATTTGGTCCGGCCGCGCCTCAGTTACAGGAAATTTTGTTCTCGCCCGCCCACGCAGCTTCGCCTCGCCCGCACGCACGGCACGCACGAACACGAAACCGAAATCGATTTCGCGGTAGGGGGGCTCTCCGTTCCACTTCGACCTCACCCCCTCACCTCCGATCCAGAACCGAAGCCCAGGCGAGTTGCCTTGATCAGGGATGTGGAGAAACTTGCAGTGGAATAAGGGGCTGTGGAAGCCGTCGTACCCCAACTGGGGGCGGATGGAGGAGTAATCAGAGGAAGATGGGAAGAAGATGGAGGGGTAGGGGTTGGGGTAAGAGATGGGAGGAGGAGGAAGGAGGAGGAGGAGGAGGAGGAGGGGGAATGGGCGGATGAGGAGGAGGAGGAGGAGGAGGAGGAGGAAGGGAGGAGGAGCAGGAGGGGGAGGAGGACAAGGAGGAGGAGGAGGAGGAGGACGACCGGGAGGAGGAGGAGGCAGGGAGGAGGAGGGCGAGCAGAAAGGCCAGATGCTTCTTGGATACCTCTAGGAGTCGTTTCGGATGTCTCGATAGCTTCTTGGAGTTCTCTTGGGACGGCTAGGGGCCTCTTGACAGTTCAGGGGGCCTCTCTGAGCGACTTGGATGCCTTGTGGGAACATGCTGAGGCCTTTTGCGAGTGTCTTGGGGACCTCTTGGGGGCCTCTTGGAGCCTCCAGGGCGCCTCTTGGGGTCCTTATGGAAAAATATGGGGAATCCTGTTATTTGTGTGTATTTATTTGCGTGTCCCAGGGCCCCTTCAAATTGCGCACGCCCCAGCGCATGCTTCTGGCTGCGGGCCACCGCGCGCGCTCCATTCCCCCCCCCATCCCACGCATGAGAAACAAGCGTGCGAGAAGGCGCGTGGCCTGACACGCCAACCAGCCTGTGTGCACCGAGCCATCCTCGTTCGGGAGCATTGAGACGAGGGTCAATGCAAACGGGGGTCAGCCAGGGCGCCAGATCTCGCAGGATCCTGCAGAGCCAGGGGTGCACTGACCCGGGTTTGGGTGCAGGATCCTGCAGGATCTTGCAGGATCCTTCGCGTTGACCCGGGTTTGGGTGCAGGATCTTGCAGGATTTTGCATGCCTGATTGACCCGGGTCTGGATTGACCCGGGTCAGGAGATCCCCGACTCGTCGCGCCAGGGCCTTCACACTCCCGCCGTGCCGTTTGTAGGCTCGACCGCGACAGGGAGCTCCGCGGCTCTGCGCGTCGCGCGCGGCCAGGCGACGCGCCCTTGGCCCCCCCCCCCCCCCTTCAGGGGCCCTCAAACACCGCTTCCTGAGGGCCTCTTTGGGCGCCAGCTTGGGGCGTTCTTGGGGCCGGTTCGGAAGCCTCTTGGGCGCCTGGCTTGGAGCTTTTTTGGCCAATTTTGGGGCCATGTGGAGGCTTCGAACGCCCATACGGAAGCCAAAAGGCGAGACGGCAGCAGCCATTGATTGATCAAAGCAGTCGGTCGACCGCCTGCGCCCAGAAGGCAGGTGGGATTTGCTGGCACCCCAGCCGCGTCCTTGCAGCATGCGAAGGCAAAGTGGTCGCGGGACGGCCGCGCATGCTCCAAATGTGAAATGTGGAGGCAGATTGTCTTCTGCTTTTTTTGACAGGGATGGTGGGTGCGTGTGAGCCTGGGGTTGGCATTGGTCCAGGCTGGCTGCCGGCTGGGTGCGGGAGGGGTGTATAGCAATAGGGTGCAGTAACAAACCATTCCCCGAAGGGGAAGAACGGGGTTCGAAGACGAAACGCTCCCCTCCTGGTCGCGCCGCGAAAAGTCCTGGTGCTCACTAGGGGCTCCGCCGCCGCCGTCGTCGTCGTCGTCGTCGTCGTCGTCGTCGTCGTCGTCGTCGTCGTCGTCGTCGTGTTCGTCGTCGTCGCCCGCCCTCTTCAAGGAAGAGCAGCGCACGAGGGCGCGGGAGCTGGCGGACGAAGCGGCCAGGAGCGCCGCCCCATAGGGGGGGGGCGTCGGGCGGAAACCGCGCCCGCGCCTTCTCCATGTTGAGTTGGTGCTCTCTTCTGCGTCTCTCTCTCTATCTCTCTCTCTCTCTCTCTCTCTCTAACGCTCTCACGACGGGAGGTGTTTCTATATTTTCGCCTCTGGTGGCCCTTGCCGTGCCCTGGCACCGTCAAAAACCGACTCGGGATCCCAAGCCCGGTCCCGGGGAAGGGCTCCACACCTTCGGGGGCCGACGCTGTGCAGCAGTCACGACGTCGGTGGTCTGGGCTTCTTTTTCCTCTCTCTGCCCCTGATGGGAGTGGAGTGGAGGGAGGTGGGGATGCAGGGAGGCCAGAACACGCGCAGGCATGACGTCCTCTCTCTGCCCCTGATGGGAGTGGAGGGAGGGAGGTGGGGATGCAGGGAGGCCAGAGCACGCGCAGGCATGCCGACGTGGCCCGGGTGCGGCGGCCCGGAGCGCTCTCCGCTGGCGAGGGCAGGCGGGGAGGACGCGCTGCAGGGAGGGGTGGCGGGAGGGGGGACGGCTTCCTGGAAGCACCCCTGCTCCTTAGAAGGCGCGGGCCTGGTCTCTGGATTGTAGGGGCCGGCGCCTTCTGAAAAGCAGCCTCCCTCCAAGAAGCCTTCCCCCTCCCCCTCCGTCCCCCTCTGCGCGTCGCCAGCACTGCAGGGGCGCCAGGCAGCAGAGCTGTCGTCGCCCCTTCTCCCGCTCTCGGGCAGCGCGGGAGGGTCTGGAGGGTGACGCCCCGCTCCTTCAACCTTTTCCTTCGCCCCTCGCCTCCTGCTGCTCCTCCCCCGTCCTGACCCATGTAGCTCCCCGGAGCCGTTCAGGAACACTACAAGGCCGCAGGGGGGTCCTAAACTCCAGGGGGCACATCAAGCAACATCAAAAGACTGCATCCTTCAACCTCCTCCTCATCCCCCCTCCATCCTCTATCCTTCTCCTCTTCCCTCCTCCTCCTCCTCCTCCTCCTCCTCCTGCTCCCCCTCATCCTCCATCATTACCCTTCTACCGCCTCATCTTCCTCCCTCCTCCTCCATCCTTCTGTTCCCCCTCATCCTTCATCATCCTGGTTCTCCCCCCGCCTTCTCATTCTCATCCCCCCTTCTCCTCGTCACCGCCCCTCCTTGCAGCACCCCTGGGCCCCCCCCCAGGAGCTGCGCGGCGGCCCAGGAGGCGGCGGAGGCGGAGACCGAGGAGGCGGAGAAGGACGGGCGGCAAGCGCCGCACCCGCTGCTCGCCCACGTCGCCGTCACCCTCGTCGGCGTCGTCGTCGCTGTCGCCGCCGCCGCCCTCCTCGACGTCGTCGTCTTCGCCAGCGTTGTCGACAGCGTCGCCGCCGTCGTCGTCGTCGTGGCCGCCGCCGCCGTCGTCTTGGTGATTATTTTCGTCGGCCTCTCTCTCCTCCAGCTTCTATTGCTGCAGAGGCCTCCACAGAGGGGCCTCCCGTGGCGCGAGGACGTCTCGGGCGACCCGGGCCTCTGAGGTCCCAAGACCGTGTGGCGTCGGACCGCGCAGTGAGGTCGCTGCGGTTCGGAAGCCTCCGCGCCATCGGTCGTCACTCGGTTTGGGGGGGCCCTGACAGTCGGAGGGCGACGCTGCTTGGCATCGCTCGGACGTGTGCATCTTTCCTTCGGCGAGGACCATCGAGGAGCATCATTGATCATTTGGCGAAAAGAACACGCACGAAACCGACAAAAACACAGGGAATGGACGTACGAGCGATGGCGAGGGGGGGGGCAGGCTCAGGGTCGGAACTCGTCAAGCCGATCGCCCATCGACCGCCGATCGGGGCCCGAGCGCCCACCCCGCCCATAGACGTGCGGATGTCCCATCGGGGGCCCATCGCCTGTGGGAAACAAACGCACACTGTGGGGAAACAGCACACAAAAACAACACACAAGCACACAAGCACACAAAACACACACACACACACACACACACACACACACTGTGGGAACACACACACACAATGTGGGGAAAGAAACGCACACGTGTGTGTGTGTGTGTGTGTCTGTGTTTCCCACGTGCGTGGAAAAACACACACGTGCGTCTACTGTGTTCGTTTATTTCCCACACGTGTGTGTGTGTGTGTGTGTTTCCCACGTGCGTGTTCTTCCCCCACAGTGTCTTATTACCTAACAGCGAAGACTGATAGGTTTCTAATGGTGTAAAAAGAGAGCAGCACATTAATCCAACATTACTACACAGTGGGGTCTGGGCAGCCGTTGGGGAGCCGTTGGGGGCCGTTGGGGGGCCGTTGGGGCTTGCCGGGGGGGATCGTTTTTCGCATACAGTCACACACTTCGTGCTTTTCGATTTCCCAGAACTCCATTCCCGGGCCACATTCTGAATGCCCGGAGCCAACTGTACGCCACTTCGTGCTCTTCGACTTCCCAGAACTCCATTCCCGGGCCACATTTTGGATGCCCGGAGCCAACTGTAGGCCACTTCGTGCTCTTCGATTTCCCAGAACTCCATTCCCGGGCCACATTTTGGATGCCCGGAGCCAACTGTAGGCCACTTCGTGTTCTTCGACTTCCCAGAACTCCATTCCCGGGCCACATTTTGATGCCCGGAGCCAACTGTAGGCCACTTCGTGTCTTCGAGTTCCCAGAACTCCATTCCCGGGCCAGATTTTGGATGCCCGGAGCCAACTGTAGGCCACTTCGTGGTCTTCGAGTTCCCAGAACTCCATTCCTGGGCATGAATTGAATGCCCGGAGCCAACTGTAGGCCATTCCCGGGGCAGATTTTGGATGCCCGGAGCCAACTGTAGGCCACTTCGTGGTCTTCGAGTTCCCAGAACTCCATTCCTGGGCATGATTTTGAATGCCCGGAGCCAACTGTAGGCCACTTCGTGTTCTTCGAGTTCCCAGAACTACATTCCCGGGCCACATTTTGAATGCTGAGGCAGGCTGAGGCTGAGGCTGAGGCAGGCTGATGCTGAGGCAGGCTGAGGCTGAGGCTGAGGCTGATGCAGGCTGAGGCTGAGGCAGGCTGAGGCTGAGGCCGAGGCTGAAGGCAGACTGAGGCTGAGGCTGAAGCAGGCTGAGGCTGAGGCTGAGGCAGGCTGAGGCTGAGGCAGGCTGAGGCTGAGGCAGGCTGAGGCTGAGGCTGAGGCAGGCTGAGGCTGAGGCTGTGTCTGTGACTGCCGTTGCCACTGCGACTGTCATCGCGAATGCGACTACGACTGCGAGAACAGCACAATTCTACAACTGGATTCTCATCTGAATCTTAAGGGGAATGCTTCCAGATATGCTCCTACACATCGCTGTTCGGTTGCTTTGCCGGGATAATTTTGTGTGTGTGTGCTTTCCCACAGTATCATTGAATCCAAGTCGATGCGTCCCCCCCCCGAGCTAGTCCTCCCTTACCGTTCCCCTTTCAGATCTGCAGCAGTTCTGGGGTCCACTTTCAGCGGAGGCGCCACGGTCGTCGTCGCTGCCGATGTCTGCGTGCGCGGGTGCGTACGGATTCGTATGCTTCGCCACCTTGGTCTTACAGCCATCGTTGTCGGGGACTGGAGGAGCGTGAGGAGGTGGACGAGGAGGAGGAGGAGGAGGAGGAGGAGGAGGAGGAGGAGGAGGAGGAGGAGGAGGAGGAGTTGGAGGAGGAGGGGGAGGAGGAGGAGGAGGAGGAGGAGGAGGAGGAGGAGAAGGAAGCATGGTGGACGAGGGGGGACGGAGGGGAGGCATGGTGGACGAAGGAAGCATGGTGGACGAAGGCAGGGAGGGGAAAGCAATCAGGTGGAAGGACGGAGGCGGGAGGACAGAATGGTGATGCCCCAGCTAGGTGTGCTCGTGCTATATATGGTCCAGGGCTTGGCCCCCCCCCCAATGCTGATGCCATTGGGCCCCCCCCCGCGCGATGGTCCCCCCTGCCCCCCCCTGTGGGCGTGTGGTGTGGTGCTGCGGTGGTTCAGAAGTGGGCGTGGCGTGGTGCTGCGCTGCGGTGTTCCCCTCCCCCCCCCTGTGGATGTGGTGTGGTGCTGTGGTGGTTCAGAGGTCGTCGTCGTCGTCGTCGTCGTCGTCGTCCTCGTCGTCCTCGTCGTCCTTGTCGTCCTCGTCGTCGTCGTCGTCGTCGTCGTTGTCGTCATCGCCGTCGTCGCCGTCGTCATCGTCGTCATCGTCGTCGTCGCCGCCGCCGCCGGCGTCGTCGCCGCAGCAGCCGTCGTCGTCGTCGTCGTCGTGGTCGTCGTCCTCGTCGTCGCCGTCGTCGTAGTCGTCGCCGTCGTCGTCGTCGTCGTCGTCGTCGTCTCTGGGACCATACCATCTGGGGGGGGGGTGGCCGAGGAATCCTGGGACCATACCATCTGGGGGGGGGGGCCCGTGAACCCTCGACCCTGGATCATATACAAGTGGCACGTGTGTGCCCAGGCTCATACAACAAGCTGAAGGGGCGTTTGAAGCAGGAGTGACATGCAACAGCGAAGTCGCACTCGAGCGCAAGTGGGGTTGCCACACCTTGCGATGTGTGTACCAGGGCCCCCCAGGAAGCCTCAGGAGGCCCGACTTGGATACCAGAAGAGGCTCCAGGAGGCCCCAGGATTGTGAGTGTGTGTGTGTGTGTGATGTGTGCTTTGTGTGGTGCGTGCTTTTTGCGTGTTGTCGGTGTGTGTGTGTGTATGTTATGTTTGTCTAGCGTGTGATGTGTTGGGCGTGATTTGTGTCTCTGTGTGTGCATGTAGTTCTGAAGCCCCAGGAGGCCCCAGGAGGCCCCAGGCGGCCTCAGCAGGCCCAGGAGAACTCCAGGAGGCTCCGAGGCGGGGTCTGGGGTACCAGAAGGTCCAGAAAGCCCCAGGAGGCCCCAGGAGGTTCCAGGAGGCCCCCAGGAGGCTCCGAGGAGGGGTCTGGGGCTCGATTTTGGGAGGATGTCTCAGGCGAAACCGCCATTCTCTGAGAATCGGAGTCAAAATCATTGAAATTACCATGTGTTTTTGAAGGTTTTATGATAAAATGTTGGAAATCCTATGTGTTTTTGGACCCTGACGTCACGATCTGCGTGAGGGGTGCCACCGATTTTCAGAATTTCGAGGATGTCCCGAGCGAAACGGCCAGAAAAATCGCGAACGACGGACGCATTAATCGCCTCTGAGCTCTACTCCCTCGGAGAGGTGCGTATGAGAATGATATCTTACCCCTGCCATCCATCCCTTCCCATTGCACTGACCGTCTCTATTCCCGCTGACGCGTGTCAAAGTGGACTTGAAAGTATAAAATGGGCCAGGACGGGGGGTGGCAAGACGACCAGGGGAAGGCGGAGGATGAGAACGGAGGGGTCAACAACGGTGAGGAACAACTCGGGTCCAGACAAGCGGTCCGCGTTGGGTTTGGATCGCTATTCTGAACGACGCGGGCAAAGCGCCGATCCTGAAATCAGGCCCACGCTGCAGCGGGAACACGACTCCTGGAGGTTCGAGGACGTTCGGGTTGGACACCGCGCATGCGGTCAGGAACTTTGACTTCGCGTGTCGATCCGCCAGTGCTGGCCCACCACGCTTCGGCGCGGCATGATGTCCACGTCCTAGTCCCCGAACGTTTCCCGACCTCCCGCCCCGCGAAGCGGAGCGACACGTGATCCCCTCGCAGGGCACAGCGTGTCGCCGGGGCCGTCGCCGCGCCACGCCGAGCGAACGTGCCCGACCGCAAGACGAAGCAACTCGGGCCAAGCCTGTGCGCCGGAAGCGATATGCGGAGTGGGGAGCGCCACTCTCAGGACGTCTTCGCGGGGTTGGAGGGGAGTAGCATTCAGATCGTGTAGATTTTGAGGGGCGGCGCAGGAGGGAGGGGAGGCCCAGAGATCCCGCGTCTTGATTTTTGCAAGACGGGGTCCACGGACGTCCCGACCCTTTCTCGGTCCAGTTATTCATCCCCGAGCCGTTTTGGGGGACATGCCTGGGGCCCTGCGAGGGCCCCCAGAGGCCGAACGCGCGGACAAAAGCTCCACTCCGATTTGTTCGATGCGTTGCCCACTGGGCCCAACATCGCAGACTGGAGCTCGTTCGGACAGCAATGGGATGGGCCTGGACTGTCCTGGAGAGTGCCGTCCTGGATTTCGACGTGCAGGTCGTGCGGATCTTTCTGTCCAGGACCGGAGGCGCCAAAACATCCACGTGAGTCTCGTGCCGCTTTTCGTTCGCCGCTTCGAGGTGTTTGCATGACTCGAAGTCCACGCGAAATCCGCTGCAGCACGTCTGCAAGGTTGGCGCAGCGATACGCTCCAAGACCCCCGACGTCGTGATGTTTTGTCGAAAACGTCGACCCCTGGAGGTCTCCACCCGCTCCCCGGGACCAGTTTCTCGTCCTGAGTCGTTCTTGTTAACGGTCCCGAGGCCCGGTAAGGGCTCCCAGAGTCCGAAAGTTGCGCCAAACCTCTCGTCGTGTTGTTTCCCGACTCGAGGGCGTCTGGGCTGCAGGTCTGGGGAGGAGAGCGCGGGGGACGGAGCCGAGCAAGAGAGGCAAGGCGTGGGCCTGCCCTCAGGATTCGAGTATGATGGGCCGGTTGTCCACCACCACTATTATAAGTAGAACAGGGACGAGGAGGAGGAGGAGGAGGAGGAGGAGGAGGAGGAGGAGGAGGAGGAAGAGGAGGAGGAGGATGAAGAGGACCGGTTTAACTATGAGTAGCGGTGGTAGAAATTTTGCCCATCAGAGTAGGGGATCGACTACAGAATCGAGTTACCCCAAACTTGAGTGTCGCTTCGAATCTACGAAGCGTGCGTAGACTGCTAGTGTAATTTCGTGCATTCGACGATTCTGTAGTCGATCCCCTCCTCGAAGGATGCAACCCCTGGGAGGTCAATCTCAGCATCGCCTCCTTGGCAGCGTTTTCATCCGGCCTAGTCGGGCTTAGTCCTGGTCAGGCCCGAGGAGACCAGACACAGATAAACCAGGACACGGAAAACCAAGGAAACGACACCTTTTCCTTCAAAGTCATTTTTTCAGCACCCGTGTATTTTTGTTTGCTGCGCTGCAGGATTCTGGTTTGTGTCCGGGTTTAGGGGGGTCTTGCAGGCTTGTAGGGCCTCTGTCCGGGTTTATTCTGGACATACTGCAGTGCAGGATTTGTTCGTGCCGCCGTCTGGAAAAATGGGTTTCGAGGGGTGTTGGGTGTCTGGGTCTAGCGTGTCTCGGTTTACGGAGTCTTGACCTGGGCCTGATAGACCTTACGGTCAGCATTTTTGGCTTAGTATGTCGCGCCGCCGGTTCCAGCTCTCCATGCTTCGGCGCGACACGCCATCCACGTCCCAGCCCCCAAGCGTCAACGTCTCAAGTTTTTCACCCTGACGAACTGGTCCCTGAATCGGGCCTGATAGCCCTGACCCTGAGGTCCGACGACGCGACACAATTGCAACATCGCGAAACACATCACGACCAGAGCCACGGACCCCATCTTTGTTCGGTCATTTTGCGGGCCGGATCGATCGAACCGGGCGAATCCGCCCGTCGCGAGCAGATTGAGGCGCTAAGATCTCAGGACGTGGCCAGTCAGGGCCCCCAGAGAGGCCGAACACGAAGGAACACCCGCCGTCGTGATTTTGTGGCGACGCGAGGTGGGCTGGGCTCGTTGCCGCCTCGTCGCCGCCTCGCGCGCTGCCGTTCCCCCCTTTGTGCTGCCGCCCGGCGAGGAGGCGGCCAGGCGGCGGAGGGAGCAGCAGGCCGCGGCCGAGCGCGCGGCGCAGGAGGCGGCCGAGCAGGAGGCGGGCTTGCGCCAGGGGTCGAGCAGTGGCGAAGCGTCCTGGCTGTCCGATAGTTATGATGCTCCCTCCTACTTCGAGCCTGAACCACCAGGAAGAGTTTCGAGCAGCAAGAAGGCGAGGATGTTCGCGTGTCGCGCCCTGGGAGACACTCGTTCGACTCTTTTTTCGGCACCGCTTCGACACTTTTCCGATATGTTCCGGGTGCTCGAAATTGTTTCTGGGGTGTGTCCTTAAGTACGGAACAACATAATCCTATAGGGCCACCAAAACATGTTCTAAACACATCTTGTGGTCTGCACGAAATGTCATTCGAACATGTATGGTTGAGGCTGTCTTGTTTTAACACATCGGGCTCATGTTCTAAGAACATGGTGTTTCGTTCGCAGAACATTTTCAGGTTCTAAGAGCATTTCGTGGTAGGCCTATAGGATTGCCCGGGCGGCCGGCCCCTGCTCGAAGGGGTGATGTCGAAAGGTCCTTCGTTATGCCCCCCTCTCCCCCAGACCTCCTCGCGCTGCAAAAAAAAACATGACGGCAGGCTTCTCCCTATGTGCGTCCTCTGGGGGCCACTGCCGGGCCTCGGGGCCGCCAGAAAACGACTCGGGATGAAGAACCGGCCCCGGGGAAGGTTGGCGGCGCGCAGAGGGGGGTAGGGGGAGGGGGGAAGGCTTCTTACAAGGAAGCTGCTTCTTAGAAGGCGCCGGCATTCCATCTACAGACAAGGCACGCGCCTTCTAAGAAGCAGGGGTGCTTCTAAGAAGCCTACCAACCTCCCCCCCCCCACCCCCCTCTGCGCGCCGCCAAGAAGGGGTCCAGACCTTTTGGGGGCGTCGACGTTGCGCAGAAGTCACGACGTCGGAGGTCGGGGCACCACGCCTCTCTCGGCGGGGCACAGGCTCGCCCCTCCTTTTCCTCCTGCTGCTGCTGCTGCTGCTGCTCCTCCTCCTCCTCCTGCTCCGCCTCCTCCTCCTGCTGTTCCTCCTCCTCTTTCTTCTCCTCCTCCTCCTCCTGCTCCTCCTCCTCCTCCGCCTCCTCCTGCTCCTCCGCCTCCTCCTCCTCCTACTCCTCCTGCTCCTCCTCCTCTTCATGCTCGTCCTCCTCCTCCTCCTCCTGTTCCTCCTGCTCCTCCTCGTCCTCCTCCTCCTCCTCCTCCTTCTGCTCCTCCTTCCTCCTCCTCCTCCATTCCTATTCCTAAGAAATAATTTACCCCTGTCGCACCCAGAGGCTAGTTTTTAGAGCGGGCCGGGCGTTTCACCTGAGGCATGCTCACAATCTATGACCATGAAGCTTTAACATTGGAAACAGTTTCACAGGTGGAGGGCGGGGATGGTTTTCAAAAATGTGGCTCTCGCCTTTTCCCCGCGCGCATTCGTTTTCAACATTTGCTAGAATTTCACGGGCTCAGGGCGGGTGGTCTTCAAAATGTGACTCTCGCCTCAGCCCTTGAACATGTGTCAAACACTTGCAAGGATTTCACGGATTGAGGGCTGAAGGTTTTGAACATGTGGTTCTCGCGTTAGGTCCTTGAACGTTTGTTTTCAACATGTTACAAGAGTTTCACGGGTTTGGGGCGGCTCCTTTTCAACATGTGGTTCTCGCTTTAGCCCCGCGCAGGTTCGTTTTTGACATGTGCAAGAGCTTCACGGGTTGAGGGTAGTTCCTTCTCAACATGTGACTTTCGCTTAAGCGCCGCGCACATACGTTTTAAACAGTTGCAAGAATTTCACGGGTTCCCATGGTATGCGTACCAGATATGGCGTTTGGGAACATATTCAGGGTTATGAGGTGCAAGGGTTACGTTGATTCGCGGCGTTGATGTCCCAGGAGTGGCGTTCTGGCACGATTCGGGACCGTCAAGACGCAACAGTCAGGTTGATCTGTGGCGTTGGAGTCCCTAGAATAATGTTTTTGGCATGCTTCAGGTTCAGGGTCTTCAACGGCTGTCTTCCAACGAGACAGCTCCCTCACTTGAAATGGACCGTTGTATACTTGGCTCCAACAAAAGTTTCCTTGGAAACTCGCAAGAGGAATGATATGTATGTAAACCCGTCGGCAAGATGAAAAGTCGCGCGCGCGTGCTCAGCGTTCGCACGCACGCGATCCCAAGACGTCCCATGGCCACAACATGCTTCCAGGAATGCCTCAGGCCACGGACGATAACGTCCAGAGAACCCAGGATGATGCCACCCCAACGCGATCCCGCCATGGATTCTGGACCGTCTCAGGCCGACTCGCAGATGACGAAACACATGAGCAACGCGTGACGCCGAGATGGCCCGATGGCAACAAGATGGATCCAAGCGCACCCAGGGTGGCCTCATAATGACGACGCGATGGTTGCGTGATCCAAACATGACCGGGATATGAACTCAAGATGACCTCAAGACGACCCCAACACGGCAATAATACTGCAACTGATGAGCCCCATCTTACTTCGAGCCGATCCCAGCATGGTGGGATCCGTGAACGGCCCGGGATTTTGGTCTACCCTTTTTTAATGGGTGGGATTTGGATCGTCCTGAACTAAATTTATAATATTAAAGCGGAATAAGCCAGGCGGGATCCCGCCCGGCCCACGGAGGAAGACAACATTGCTAGGCTTCTACGGGGGTAGGGGGTTCGGAAGGGGCGTCGTTTACTTCCGCTGACATTGGCAAGCCTTCCGGCGGCCTTCCCCCGTCTTCCGCCTCGTTTTACTTCCGTCGACTTCCGCCGGCCAGCGTCGTGATGAAACTTCCAGGAACTTTCACTGGGCCGATGTAGGGGCCTGTGAAGAGCAAGTTTGGAGGGAGGGCTTTATCTCAACATCACTGAGATCCTCCTTTCTCCTCCTCCTCCTTTCTCCTCCTCCTCCTCCTCCTCCTCCTCCTCCTCCTCCTCCTCCTCCTCCTCCTCCTCCCCCCCCTCCTCGTCGTCGTCATCGCGGCGGACATGGTTTTCCCATTGTTGTTTGCCGAGCTAGATCTATGGGGGTTTTCTCTCCCATTGAACCATCCATTGCCCATTGATGGCGACCCTGCACGCGAGAGGATTTGTGAGCATCGCATGGTGGTGGCGATAGGAATCAGCGGCTGTGGTTGTAGTATTGATTTTGGTAGTATCTGTAGGAATGATTGTAATCGTGATTGCAATCGCGACTGAAGTCGTAATGGTAGTCGATGTCATCGTCGCCACGCTGATCAATGTTGGGTTTTCCCCCAGCGGGTTGTAATCCCCAGGCGACCCTGCACGACAGAGGAATGTTGAGCGAGTTTGTAAAGGGATTGTAAGATAGATCGACGCATTCTTCGCCTGATGCTCCGTTCACATTCGGCTACATGTATGCGTTGTCGTTGTCGTAGCCGTAGTCGCATCGTGGTCGTAGCCGCACTCGTAGTCGTCGTTGTCGTCGTCGTCGTTGTCGTCGTCGTCGTTGTTGCTCGGCGTGCCGCAGAGAAACATTTAATTATCCGTAAGGGCTTCGCCCCGTGCCGCCGGCCCCGTGTCTCGGATAATGGGAGATGCAAAAGCTAAATCATGAGGTCTGGGCGCCGCCGTGAAGCAGTGTCGGGACCAGTTTGTTTTTCAATCCTGACCCTACGGATCTGCGTCACGGGTGCCACCGAATTTCAGAAATGTGGCAAATCCCGTGTGATTTTGAACCCTGACCCTACGGATCTGCGTGAGGGGTGCCGCCGAATTTCAGAAATGTGGCAAATCCCCTGTGTTTTTGGATCTTGACCCTGCCGATCTGCGTGAGGGGTGCCACCGACTTTCAGAAATGTTGCAAACCCTATATGTTTCTGGACCCTGACCCCGCCGATCAGCTTGAGGGGTGCCACCAGATTTCAGAAATGTGGCGAATCCCATGTGTTGTTGGACCCTGACCCCGCCGATCTGCGTGAGGGGTGCCACAGGATTTTCAAAATGTGGCAAATCCCTTTTGATTTTTGATCCTGGCCCTACGGATCTGCATGAGGGGTGCTGCCGAGTTGTCGGGAACCCGCGGCCGGTCCAGATGGAGCGAGCTCAGCAATGGGCGAGAGTCTCGGCGAAATCTGGGCGACAGGGTGAATAGGGGTGGTCGAAATCACGTTTATGACAGGGCCGCGGAGGTCCACAGAGGCCCCCGTGAAGGCCCACCCAGCAGTGATTCACCATACGCGCTGCAATTTTTTCAGCATGCGCGTCACAGGTCGCTGCATCCTTCCATTCCGTACTTGTTCTCATGGTCGACGATACCGACCCCTCCCCCCTGCAAACATAACGCCATCTCTCCCTCCTCCTCCCCCTTCACCTGTTCCATCCCTCGCCCTCACTTGCGAAGGCTACGCTACTTGTCTGCAGCGGGTCGTTGGAGAAGGCTGGCCTCTTGGCACTGCAGGGCTGAGCCCTTCCTCCCGATAGTCACGGCCACCCTGCCTGGGAGAAGACCCCTGGACACGACTATGTCTTGCCTTTGTTGAAGAGGGGCTCCCTGGAAGTTCCGACCTCGTCCCCAGGGCCGGGTTTCCGCCCCGAGTCGTTGTGCTGAGACGCTCCCTGCGCCCGGCGAGGATCCCATCCGCTCCATGGGCGTTCTGGAACGCTCTCTGGGCGGCCCGGCACGCTCAGAGACGGCCGCGGCGGCCTTTTTGGACATCCTCCAGAGCCGCCGGATCTCAGAGGTTCTCGATTTGTCCTCACCCTGGTTCCGTCCTGATGTCTGGCATGAAGTCGGGCCTGTCCCTCTACAGGAGGAATCTCCAAACATAGTTTTTTCTTTTTTATACAAAAAACAGTCTTGGGACGATTGTTTGGATTCCTTTCGACTATGCTTGGGCATTTTTGATGTTTTGGTTTTCTCTGTTCCGTCCAAAATCCCCCTGTAGGGGGACATGCCCGACCTGAGTCTGGCCTTCGGCGCAGCGCCGGCCGGCAGCTCGCTGATCGAAGGCGCCGCCTGCTCCGAGCCGGTGCGGGCCGCAGCCCGGCGCGCCTCGGCGCCCGACGGCAGCCTCCTCGGGCCTCGGGCTCCGCGTCCGGCGCGCGCGTGGTGCTTGGCGCGTGGCGGTGTGGCGGGTGCCCTCCCCCGCCCTCGGTTCCTCCGCGGCTGCTCCTCCTCCGCGCGGGAGCCTTTCCGAGCCTCCAACCTCCAGTTTTTTGCAAGGCGCGCTATTCCTCTTGATTCTTCGTGGGTGGTCTGATATGTTTCAAGCGTGTGGATATCGAGCGGAACGTACCGTTTTTTCATGTGGATGTGTGTTGATTGTTGTGTTCTTTTATTGATGTTTGTTCATCTGTGTTGATTTTTGCCGTAGGTGCATCTATGGGGCACATTCGGACGCTGGACAATTAACTCGCCGAGCACCCCTGGCAATCCGAGCGTCCGTGCGGATGGCCTCTGCCATGCCGCGGCGGAAAAAGGGGCGGCGTGGCGCGTGGGGTGCTCCTTGACATCCTGGCGTCTCATTCTGTTCATCCCGGGCGTCTTCGCCTGTTTTCGGGCCCCGGGACCCTCACGATCGATCCAGCGCGCTGGTCATGCTTCGTCTGGTTGCGGGCCCCAGGACCCTCACGATCGCTCTGGTTCAAAAATCGCTACAGGAAAGGGTGTTTCTGGGGCTCCGGCCGCGATTTCTCGTGACGTTGCAGCTTTGTTGCGTCCTCGGATCTCAGGGTTTGGCTCGTGGTCTGTGGGGGGGCAGGGACTTTCCTCACCGGGCACGTTCCACTACTCGCAAAGTGCCTACTCGCAAGCGCCCGAGAAAAAAAACACATGTCTGCTTTGATGTAATTTATCGTAGGTCCCCCTCGGCGGATGCAGGCCATTTGCGAGCAGTTACTTTGCGAGTAGTGGAGCGCGCTCGTCTATTTCCACGGGGGAACTCCAGGGAGCTTGGCCCCGGGGAGCCGACTCTTGCGCCGGGAGGCCGGGAGGGGAGCCACGGTTCCTTCTTTCGTTGCCCTCCTCCTCGCCCCCCTGTCCAGACCCTGGACGCCACAGTTTCTGTCGCAGCGCAGGTCTGCAGTAGGAGCTTGATCGCAAGAAACCTTCCACAAGAAGCCCCACCCTGAGACCCCAGGACGTCCAGACGTCGATTAATGTTTGGTGTCGGAGCGTCACGCTTTCCATCGCATCGCAAAACCATCGAAACCCCCAAAAACAAGGGCACCCTGGAGGAAAGCAAGGTGTATCTTGGCATGGGTGTCCAGTGTATTGTCGGCCCTGATTGGTAGGTCGACCCTGCCAAGTCAGTCGAGAGTACCCTTGTGTCCTGTCTATTTCGACCTATGCAACGCGCATGTCCTTTGGTGTCTTGGGCAACGTTGCCGTCGGAAGAGTCTTGTGTCCTCTCGGGTATCCTGTCCAGTCAAGCCCGACTGGCACCCCGCCGTGGCACCCCCGCCGTGGCACCCCGCGGCAGCGGGGGGCGAGGGGTGGGAGGGGGCAGATGCAGAGGCGCGGGAGTTAAGAGAATGGCGATGCGGATGGAGACGGACTGGGGGCGGTGAGCGGGCGGATAGGGGACGAGGAGGGGGCGGGGAGGAGGGAAGCCGGGTGAGCGTAAGGCTTGGGAGGAGGTCCGAAGCGAGGAGCGATTACGAGGCACGAGGCGGGGACGGCGAAAAGAGGAAGCGAGGAGCGGACCCTGGGCACGTGTCTCCTTCCGAGCCGCTCCTGGACGGCCGGCGCCCAGCAAGGGCCGGCCAACCGCTCTCGGCGCCGGGACGCGACCCGCCCCTGAGATCCGACGGCGCGGGGAAGAAAAACGAGGCGAAACATCACCACCAGGAGGCGGAGGACGAGGAGGGCGAGGAGGAGGAGGAGGAGGAGGAGGAGGAGGAGGAGGAGGAGGAGGAGGAGGAGGGGGGAGAGGAGAGGGACCGGGAGGAGGACCAGCAGGGTGAGGAGGCGGAGGAGAGCGAAGCATCACCACCGGAGCCCTAGACCCAATCTTTCTGCATCATTTCTCGGGCCAGATCGGTTCGGGCGAAAACGAAGGGCTCGAACAAAGCGAGACATCAGGAGTTCAGGGGCGGCGGTGTCCTCGGCCCCATGCGTGCCCGCTTCCCCCCCCCGGAGGCCGAGGAAGTGCAGCTCGGGCCGCGCGGGCGTTGCCCCGCCGACCTTCCCCGCCCTCCTCCCCCTCGCTGTCGTCGTTGTCGTCGTCGTCGTCGTCGTCGTCGTCGTCGTCGTCGTCGTCGTCGTCGTTCTCGTCGTCGTTTGGTTGCCGCGCGGGCTCCTGTGCGCTGGTCTGACAGAACGTGTGCTCCCCCCCCCTGGCGGAGGCCGAGGAGGCGGCGCGGGCGCGGCGCGAGGCGGAGGCCGAGGCGGCGCGGCGGGCCGAGGAGGCGGCGGCGCGGAGGCAGCGCGAGGCGGAGGCCGAGGGGGCGGCGCGGCAGGCGACTGCCCGCGAGGCCGAGGCCGAGGCCGAGGAGGCCCAGCGGCGGCAGCGGGCCCGGGGCGGGCGGGCGGAGGCCAGGCAGCGGGGGGCCGAGGCCGAGGCCGCCGTGGAGGCGGCGGCGCGAGGGCGGCGCGAGGCCGAGGCCGAGGCCGAGGCCGAGGAGGCGGCGCGGGAGGGCGCCGGCGGCGGCAGGCGCGGCCGCGGTCCGCGCGGGAGGGCAGGGCTTGGGGGGCGCTCTGCAGGGGCGGCGGGGCGGCGGCACGGGAGCGGGAGCGGAGGGCTCTGGGGAGGCCTCCTCATTTCCTCCGCTTCCTCCTCCTCCTCCTCCTCCTCCTCCTCCTCCTGCGCCTCCTCCTCCGCCTCCTCCTCCGCCTCCTCCTCCTCCGCCTCCGCCTCCGCCTCCGCCTCCTCCTCTTCCTCCTCCTCCTCCTCCTCCGCCTCCTCCTCCTTCTCCTCCTCCTCCTCCTCCTCATCCTCCGCAAGGAGGTGCCGACGCAGCGGCTGCAGAACCGATTGGAAACGGACTACCGAAACTACACCTGGCGCCCCATCAAGCCAGAGGGCTTGGTCACCGTGGATTCGGTCACCCTGGTGGAGGTCTGCCCACAGGGCCCTTCAGAGGCCACCATCCTGCGCTTGATCCCCACAACGGTCGGCACATGCAATATTGACCATGATTTTGTAGCCAGGCGCTTCAACGACCTTTTTTTCGACGGTCGGCACATGCAATATTGACCATGATTTTGTAGCCATGCGCTTCAACGACCTTTTTTTCGGAGCCTCGGAGTGGACACCAGCACTTGGGCCGACACCTCCAACTGCATCGAAATGCAGATGGCGACGTGGGAGTTGCAGCACGCTGCGGGACCAGCTCGCGCCGCCTGGCGAGAGCAGGAGTCGCTGCCCAACCCAGTACGCGTACAAACACATCCCCTTCAGCCTCTTCCTCCACAGATTTTGCTCCACAGATTCTGCTTCCCGGCGGGGTGGTTCCTGCCGTGCTGTCCCCACCACCTCTCGCGCCACGCGACGGTCCGCCGCTGGTGGCCCTACCCGTGCGAGCACCGGAGCCAGAAGACCCTCCCCAACCTTCCCCGCGGGAGCCAGGCAACGGTGGTCCCGCTGTTCCCCAGCCGGCGCGGGGAGCCCCGCGGACACTTTTGCTGGTGATCCGCGGGAGCTGTCGCGGGCTCCTGTGCCTCAGCGGCCGCCAGAGGCGCCGAAAGTTCCAGCGGCTGCGGCGCTTCATGCACCAGAGGTCCGACATCCTGCTGCAGGAGTGTCACAGCGGCGCCGACGCACATCGTGTTCAGTCCGGGCGACCACAGTGGCAGCGGGGGTGAAGCGGCCCTCATTCAATAGCATTTGGAGGCTGACCTAGCGGGCGGCCTTCCTGCCCAGCGTCCCTCGGTGCACCAGCAGATCATTGTCAATGGCCGCACCTCTCTTATCAGCATCGCCAACCCCGTCTTTCGACAGTAAATTCGCATCTACAATGTGCACATCCACGGCCTGAGCACGGGCGACAGACAGAGGGTAAGACGGGCCTGGCTGGATTCATACGCGTGGGCGCGTGGCGACGAGTTTCGCAGACTGTTCATAGCGGCAGGAGGTTTCAATATTTCGGACAGGCCGCCTTGCCCCGTGACGCACCCTGGATGCTTGCCGCGAGGCGGGGCCAGCCGAGCGCAGCATGGTCAGCCTTTTTGGCGGCGGCTGTTTGATGACAACGGGATGGTTGAGCTGGAAACAAACGCCAACGCATTTCTCACGACATAACCAGTCCTGCAGTTTCATCGGCCCGACTTTCGTATCGGCTTCGGCGCACTCTTTGCAGGAGACGGCGTGCACAGTCACTGTAATGCAAGAAACTGCGCAACTGAGCGACTGGCAGCTCCGTGACCACGCCATCCAGGAGTTCGAATTGCAAGTGAAAGGCTCCATGAAGCGGGACTCCGAACATCCCTCCCTTCATCTTGAAGCACGAGCATTTCAAACACCA